TTTGGTAAACCTGCCTGAAACATCAAGGATCTTGCAATTTGTAATAAATGTTTATGCTTGCGTTCAACCACCCCATTTTGTTGGGGTGTATAAACGCAAGTACGATGATGTATAATCCCAGAATTTTGAAGCAAAATTTGGCATTCAGTATTCAAAAACTCAGTGCCATTGTCGGTTCTCAGGCACTTGACTCTTTTATCAAACTGATTTTCAACCATTTTGAAGAAACAATTAAGGGTTTTAGTGACTTGTGTCTTGTGATGGAGTAAAAAGGTCCAGGTTGCCCTGCTGAAATCATCAACCACGGTTAAAAAATATGGAGTTCCAGTTAGAGAAAAATGTCTGTAGGGTCCCCAAAGATCAACATGTAATGTTTCAAATATTTCATTAGTGTGAATAGAGCTGACAGGAAAGGAATTTCTCTACTGTTTTGCCTTGTGACAAACTTCACAATGCTGTAAAATTTCAAGATCCTTTGAGGAATGGTTTAGAAAATCTAAGTATCGTAATGTATGAAATGAGGTATGGCCAAGTCTGCTATGCCATTTTAGGAGTAAATCAGTAGAGGATGAACTAGAGCTTTTATTGATATCAGAAATTTGATTACAAAATGGAAAGGAATTAGAATTTCCAGACTTGATAATGAGTTGTCTCAGGTTTTCTCTATTACTAGAACAGAAACTAGATTCATCTAACAAGTACAATTTTCCTATAAGCCTGCCAACCGCTAAAATTCCTTCACTCTGCAGGTCCTGCAACAGACAAAAATGAGGGTAAAATATCAGTTTTAAGTGTGCACTTTGGGTGAGTTTGGGTACTGATAGGAGATTAAATTTGAAGCTAGGAATATATAGTGTATCAGTGAGACATAATTGCAAGTTCAATTTCACATTTCCTATCTTATTAACTGGTACCATCTGGTAAATAAACGTGTATAGGCTGTGTTGTGTTTCTTAAGTTTGTCATCAATTTAATATCACCACAAATATGATTACTAGCACCTGTGTCAACGATCCAAGTTCCAGGTTTTAAACAATCAAGCTTAGCCAAAAGGGAATGATAGAAACTCATACCTGCGTATTCCTTGACATGAGTAAAATTCACCTTGTTTTCTAAATCCATTAATGTCGTCCCTCTTAAGGCCTTTTGAATTTCTGTCTTCACGATGTCTGCTATGCTGACAACATCATTTTTCCTGATCTCATTCATCTGATCTTCACCAATGTCTAATGGTGTCTCTGCCATATTTGCCAAAAATCTTCCATCATTGAGACCTCTAGATCTCTGCTCTTTTAGTTCTTTATACCAATCTGGGTATCCATTTAGTTTAAAACAAATATCTCTTGTATGTCCATTCATGTTACAATGGTCACAGTGTGAATTCTCCCTATCTGCACCTCCATATCTTCTTATGTTTCCCCTTGCCGAGTTATAATTTCCTCTATTAAAACGTCCCCTGCCTAATCCTCTGTAGTAGTTAGGTCTACCTCCATTATCTCTCCTATACTCTGTAGCCTTGATAAGCATAGCTGTGTTGTCATTTGTTTCTGGATAGATGATGTGTACTTTCCTTTGTTTCTCAACTCTAAGCACCATAGAGTAAGCTTTGTTCACTGAAGGCAGAGGATCCATTACCAAAATCTGGTTCCTTATGTTATCAAATGCATCGTTTCGTCCCATCAAAAATTGCATTAAACGATTGAAACCTGTCAAATCTGATACTTCCTTTGAAGCCGCACAAATGCAAACTGGGACTGGCATCAAACATGCCAATTCATCCCAGAGTTTTTTGAATTTCATGTAATATTTCTCTGCTGTTAATACTCCTTGAGATATACTACCAATTTCTCTCTGTAATTGGTATAACAAGGGTCCATTACACTCACATACCTTTCCTTCAATTCTTCCCAGAGATCTTTCGCAGATACCGTATATATAAAAGCTTCCAAAATTTCTTTTGAAATCGAATTGAGCAACCAAGACCTGACCATACAATCAACTCGTACCCATTGCTCAAACTTAGCTGAATTCGTTGCTGGTTGTTCACAATTTCCATCAATAAATCCTAATTTCAATTTTGCCCCCCAAAGCTATCTTAATAGATCTACTCCAACTAAGATAATTTTGTCCCGTTAAATGCGTGGTAACCAGCTGCATTCCTGGATGATCTGAGCTCTGTAAATCTAATGGATCTCCATTAGTATAAGCCTTCTCTGTGACTTGCCTCTCTGTAACTTCATCTTCTTCAAGTCGAGGTGCTACCTCGAGTTCCACCATTCAGTAAGAAATTTCTAAAAAAAATCCAAACCATGCTCTGATACCATGAACAAAACGAAATGGAGTAATAGAATCAATTATTCTTTACCTTAGAATTAAAATGATCTTCATCATTTATAGATGAAGATTTACAGTTCAACAAACCAAGAACCAACTTAACAAAATAACAGACAAACCTAAAAAACGTGAGCTAACTAAAAACATGAAAGCAACACACGCTTTCCTTTATTCACTAAATGGACTAAGGAAGTAATAGCTAGCTGGGTTTCGATATTGGGCTGGAACAAATCCTTCAAGTCAGTCCAGTAGCTCAGTCCAGTAGCAAGTGAAACAACCCGACTCCATAGTTCAGCCCGTCAGCTCCACCATAGCTATTCTCTTCAATATCAATCTAAAAGAAAATGGAAAACAATAACACTTTCAGTCACCCAACTTACCATTTTGTTTCACAGTAGTCTCCAGTCTTTTCTTACCAACAGAAATGGTATTGTACTCACCATTTACAACCTTTGATAATTGTAGCATTTGTGTTCCCAATCTTTTTCTTGACATTCCTCTCCTCAACGTTTCATTAATTAGTGCATTTTGTCCCTTTGTTTCTGTCTAAAATTTGAGTGATTATATTGCCACCACAACTTTTATTTGATACACTACATTTTAATTGCAGTTAAGCGCATTATAGCAATTATTTTTTTTTTACTTTTTTTCCATCGAATTCGTATCTTAAACATTCTATTAATTAGTACTTCTCGTTCTTGATGATAATTTATATACGTATCTTAAACATTCTATTAATTAGTGCTTCTCGTTCTTGATGATAATTTATATCAAAATATTTTGCTTTCATGCTTTGAAATGGGGGGTCGGGAATTTTGCGCTTTTATTTATTTATTTCTAAATATGATGGAAAAATAAATTGTTTTATGTTATTTCAACGAATTTTTGAACATAAAGCCGTTATCAAATACAATACAAAATGTGTTAATTAATGAAAAGTTGGAGGATAAGAATTACATGGAAAAATCTTTAGAGACATTAGTGCTATAATGAGCAAAGATAAAAAAATTTTAAGTGCAATTAAAATGTTGTGCAAGAAATAAAAATTGTGGTGTTAAAAAGAGAAATTTACCCCTCTAATTTAACTATACAAAAATTAGTGGTGGCAAACGAGTCGAGTTGGCTCGGCTCGTTGCCCACGAGCTCGAGCTCGTGGCTCGTTGCTCGTGGGCGAGCTCGGCCCAGTCCACGAGCTCGCTGTAGTGAGCCGAGCCGAGCCTTTATTGAATTTTTTTTTTTAACTATCCTTCTTTAAAAATAAATAAATAAATAATAATAATAATCATAATAAAAAATTAGACGAGCCGCTCTTCAAAAACGAGCCGACTTACTCGGCTTGTGCTCGGGCTCGTCAAAAAAGCCGACCTACTGGGCTCGTGCTCGGGCTCGTTTTTTGACGAGCCCGAGCGGCTCGTGGGCTGTTACAGTACTAGCCGTTCGACTCGATTGCCACCACTAACAAAAACCGATCATAAAAATGAACTTTTTGAGTAATGCTATTTTACCAAATGAATTAACATCTTGATCGACACATTAAGCGTGTGACAAAAAATAATTGGATGATAGGCCATATCCCTCAACCAATGCAACCGCACCATCACCACTACTCAAGCAGACAATTAACAGCCCATTAGTAGCAGTACAAATAGAGAAACAACATCATCGACGTGCAAGGAAACTATTTATGCACATAAACAATGGGAATGGTGAGTCTTGACGACACCATAGCAACTGTTGCATCGATAACAATTTTTAAAAGTGTGTTTGAGAGCTGTTTAAATTATAAAATAAATAAGAAAGAGATATTGATAAGTAGACGGTACTTTGGATAAATATGATTTGATTGATTACAAATAAATTATGAACAGCTGCAAAACATGCTCTTAGTATTGTGATAATAACATTGTAGCAAGCAGGGCGAGGCATTGGGACTAATGTAATGTATTTTTAGCATAGCAAGTTGGGTCATCGAGAGAAGAATTACAAGGAGCAAAGAATATGACATTGACATGGAGTCGTTGCTTGTTGCCCGTCTCACTTGTGTCGGCTAGGCAAAGAATTGGCATAAAAATAAATTTGCCAATCAACTTGCGCTGTAGAGGAAAGATGTGTCATGAGAGGGTGCCATCTAAGAAGGCGATGAAGAAGTTGAGCTTGCTCACCAAGAAACATCTCGATCCTATAGATTAGAGTGGTGAATTAAAGAAAATATCAAAATGAGAAAAGGAAGCGCAATAGATCTAGTACTGAATCTCAATGCAACCCCCACATCCAGCTCATTTATCAGCTTTCAGGATTTTTACTGATTTTTCTTCATTCTCAAGCAGCGAGAAATGTTGTGACGGTTAACTGGCTTGAAGTGAAACCTCAAATATGCACCGCCAGTCAACAAGAAAACTCTTACCCGACCCCATACAACTCCTATTCCATCACCATTTAAAACCCAGAAAATCAATTGAAGAATGTAAACAAATCCATGCAAAACTCGTACGCTCCAACCAACCCCCCTCACAAATCCACATTTCCAACATTTTACTCCATTTCTATTCGCAATGCGATGATTTGTGCAGTGCCCGTCGGGTGTTTGATCAAATGCCTCATAGAAACGTTGTCTCGTGGACGTCGTTGATTTCGTCCTACGCCCTTCATGGGTTTTTGAGAACGTCGGTTGCATTGTTCACTGAGATGTTAGAATCCACTGTGAAACCAAACACTCATACATTTTCGTTTATGATTCGCGAATGCACGACTTCTTATTTGTCTGTGTTGGGCATTCAGATTCACTGTCTGATAATCAAGTTGGGTTTGGAAAAGGATGAGTTCTTGGGGAGTGCTCTTGTGGATTTTTACTTGAAAGTTTGGAATAGTATGGACGAGGCATTTCGTGTTTTTGATGGGTTGTGGAGGAGGGATCGCGTTACATGGAATGTTTTGATCTCTGGGCTTGCTGACGTTAGTGATATTGGTGAGGTTCTGAGGTTGTTCCACGAGATGAGAGTGGTTGATGAGTTGAGGCCCAATGATTATACCTTGACAAGCTTGCTCAAATGCAGTTCCTTGATTATTGAGGTGGACCAGATTCATGGGATGGCTATGAAGTATGGTATGGATGGTGATGTAGTGGTGGGGAGCGGTTTGGTGGATCTGTATGGGAAGTGTGGGAACATAGATTCGGGAAAAAAAGTGTTTGACTCGATGGAGGTTAAAGATATATTTGTTTGGAGTTCAATAATAGCTAGTTATGTGAGGAATGGCTCTCCAGAGCAAGCTGTTACGTTGTTCTTACGTATGTGTAGGCAAGGTGTGAAACCTGATCAACATGTCTTGTCCATTGTCTTGAGAGCTTGCGCAGAGGCCGGCAATTTAGAATCTGGAATTCAAGTTCATGCCCAAATGATAAAGAATGCATATCAAGCTGACTGTTTCGTTGGAAGTGCACTGATGTCTCTTTATGCCAATGTCAAAGAACTTGGCAGTGTGGAAAAGCTGTTCAGGAGGATAGAGAATAAAGACATTGTGGCTTGGAATTGCATACTGATGTGTTATGCTCAAAAGGAAGAGCTAGCAACCTTTTACTCTATCAGTCTTTTTCGAGAACTGTGTCAAACCAATACGGTGAGACCTGATATGGCAACTCTAGTTGCTCTCATAATGTCATGTCGGAGTGTTTTAGATTTAGCAGTAGGTATTCAAATCCATGGCCTGATTATGAAAAAACGACTAGGTCGTGAAACTTCTATAGGTAATGCAGTAATTAACATGTATTCCAACTGTGGGTCCATTCTTGATGCTTGCAAGGCTTTTGATGACATTGTCAACAAAGATGAAATTTCATGGAGTTCTATAATTGGAAGTCACATGCAGAACGGGTTTGAACTAGAAGCTGTAAACTTCTGCAAAGAGATGTTGGCAGAAGGAATTTATTTGACCAGCTTTAGCCTTCCATTATGCATAGCCGCTTCTGCAAAGCTTGCAGCAATTGATTTGGGTAAACAATTTCACTCATTCTTTGTCAAGTTAGGTTTAGGAGGAGATATCTTTGTTGGGAGCTCCATTGTTGATATGTATGCTAAATGTGGAAACATGGAGGCCTCCCAAAAAGCTTTTAAAGAGCTAGAAGAACCTAATGCAGTGTCATTCAATGCTATGATCTCTGGATTCGCACGGCAGGGAAATGCTGCCAAGGCAATTGACCTATATCGAAAGATGGAGAAGATGGGCATAGTCCCTAATGGTGTCACCTTTTTGGCCCTTCTATCAGGTTGCAGTCATATGGGTCTAGTAGAAAGTAGTTTAGCTTTTTTCAATGCCATGTGCCAAAAGTACAATATTGAACCAGAACCCGAGCATTATGCCTGCTTGGTTGATGTACTTGGCCGTGCTGGACGTCTAGAAGAGGCATACTGCATCATAGAAAATGACGAAAGTGTTTTGGCTTGGAAAACTTTGCTGAGTGCTTGCAGGAATTATGAAAATACAAAATTGGCAGAAAAGTGTGCCTCGAAGGTGATGCAACTTGATCCCACGGATCATTCTTCTTATGTTCTTCTGTCCAATCTATACTCGAGGGAAGGAAAATGGGAAGAAGCTTCCAAGCTGAGGCAAAAATTGGTGAATGTTGGAGGAAAGAAGAATCTTGGAAGCAGCTGGTTAATGTAAGACATGGTTTCTATAGACTTGTCTTGGAAGAATATAGCGAGAATCGGATTTAAGAGTTGGTGGAGATGAAAACTGTTGAATCTTCTAAGAATGAATGCTGGTTATTTTATCTTGGCCATGTTAAACTTGCTGCCCGCCTCAAGATAAATTGACTCAAGGATGGGTCGTTTCTGATTTCATATTTCAGCAAGGATAGTGCAATATGAAAAAAATATGGGTCACTCCAACGACGGCTTACTGTTAGCTAGAGAAAATGGCTTGAATTGTAAGTTTATTATCCAGAGATGTATATGCGTTTGACAGAGAGCATTGTACTGACTGGCTACATTTTTACGTCTCCGATGTTCGGTTGTTAAAGGACAAGATGTCCATAAGATGAATGTAGCAGAAATAAAGATATTAAAATGGATATCATACTAAAATAAATAAGATAAGAAATGATTATATTCGTCAACATGTGCAGATAATGTCAATCGAAGATTAATTTCAGGGAAGGTTGCACTGTCCTGAAGAGGCTTTCGTCATTAAAGTGATGTGATTTCAATGGAGCAACATAGAAAAGGGAGGGGCAGACCAAAATTAACAAAGTCTATTGTATTTGTCAAAAACCTAGTTATTTTTTATCTCCCATTAGAACGGCACGGATGGATTCCACTACCACGTGTACGTATAAGAATGTCCCACCGAAGCTTCTCCCCTATGAGGGAATGCAGTTCATGTACCTAGGCATTTGTTGTTGGACAGTTATATTCGGATTGGAAAGCTCATATAAGAGCATTTCTCGATGCAATAACTAAGTCGAGCGATCACTAGTCCTAACAAAATCCAAATTGACCACAATTTAAATATAGGAAGATGTTTAAAAGGATCGAATGCCATTTTTGAGATATGACAGTTTCCAGTCTCTGGATTAAACTTGATCAAAAAGCATATAGGATTAACACAAAATTGTTTTCGCAAGGGGAGAAAATCGAGTAAATCTAAGCACTTTTTGTAAGGAAAGGATGCAAGCTGTAACTAGTCTACATTGAACAGAACTTTGACCATCAAAATTATCGGGCTCAACCATGTCCGAGTATAAAGAGCTTCGAGTTTATCTAGAAAGGACACAACCAACAATATTGTTTAAAAACCGTTCCAAGTATCCGAAGAATCCTCCAAGATAACTGTATGGTTTACGAAGCCTGTGATACAAATGCAAACACAACAATAGATATGAAACTTCCACTGTAGGATAAACAACAGATGTGATGAAAACTGAAATTGATTCAATTTCCCAATCTGATAACTCTGCATAATTCAGTTCTAGGATTGTACCTAGAGCCGATCGATGAAAGCAAGTTCATCTTTCACCATAATGCTACTACATTCACAACACTGCTCCTCTACCATGGGGGAACATTGAAAATATTTGACCAGCAGATTAGAACCATTTATTTCTCTAAGTTTCCAACTCAGATGCAGCATCATCTGTAAACTCATACAGACCAAAATTAACAAAGTCTATTGTATTTGTCAAAAACCTAGTTATTTTTTATCTCCCATTAGAACGGCACGGATGGATTCCACTACCACGTGTACGTATAAGAATGTCCCACCGAAGCTTCCCCCCTATGAGGGAATGCAGTTCATGTACCTAGGCATTTGTTGTTGGACAGTTATATTCGGATTGGAAAGCTCATATAAGAGCATTTCTCGATGCAATAACTAAGTCGAGGGATCACTAGTCCTAACAAAATCCAAATTGACCACAATTTAAATATAGGAAGATGTTTAAAAGGATCGAATGCTATTTTTGAGATATGACAGTTTCCAGTCTCTGGATTAAACTTGATCAAAAAGCATATAGGATTAACACAAAATTGTTTTCGCAAGGGGAGAAAATCAAGTAAATCTAAGCACTTTTTGTAAGGAAAGGATGCAAGCATCAGCTCTTCTTGTCTGGGTGGAGCTATGTTGCAAATTTCACTGCCAAGGTCAAGAGTTCGAGTTGGTATGAACCCACCCTTCAAATTCTCTATAAGAGGTATTCTAAAATACCTCCTTTTACTTATCAAAAAAAAGGAAAGGATGCAAGCTGTAACTAGTCTACATTGAACAGAACTTTGACCATCAAAATTATCGGGCTCGACCATGTCCGAGTATAAAGAGCTTCGAGTTTATCTAGAAAGTACAAAACCAACAATATTGTTTAAAAACCGTTCCAAGTATCAGAAGAATCCTCCAAGATAACTGTATGGTTTACGAAGCCTGTGATACAAATGCAAACACAACAATAGATATGAAACTTCCACTGTAGGATAAACAACAGATGTGATGAAAACTGAAATTGATTCAATTTCCCAATCTGATAACTGTGCATAATTCAGTTCTAGGATTGTACCTAGAGCCGATCGATGAAAGCAAGTTCATCTTTCACCGTAATGCTACTACATTCACAACACTGCTCCTCTACCATGGGGGAACATTGAAAATATTTGACCAGCAGATTAGAACCATTTATTTCTCTAAGTTTCCAACTCAGATGCAGCATCATCTGTAAACTCATCGGATGGGTTTGTCATCGGAAAAAATTCTTCACCAGGATACATTTTTCGGAATAGCTGCCATGACATACAGAAAAATGGTCATTAGCGTAGTCAGCTTTATTTAACTACAGAATGGAGCGTGACATATGAGTAAGTCTATGTTCTCTTCACAACTGAGTACATGGAGCTGACATGGCAGACAATTGGGAAATCTTCAAGCAGTAAGGTGGAAGCATAATTAGAAACATAGCAAAATCTTCCTTTTTTAGACAATGAGCTCGGGTTATAATATACCTTTCCTGTTGCATCTAGAAGACTATTGTAGTGCAGATGCTCATCCGGCATTGTCATATAGTTAATGGATCCAAATCCTCCCTGAAATTCACAGCGATGAATGAAACAATTTAAAGGCCATAAAATTCATAACAAATGGAAAAGATATTTATGGCCCCTATCTTTAATAGTAAAGGAGCTCATGAATCATAATTTAAATTAAGGAGAGGTAATAGAATGCAGATTTAGGCGTAACTCGAAGATGTTTGAGAAACAATCTGGTTTTAGGATCTTTTATTAATTTTAAAAAAGAAAAATCTAATAGGGCTCCTAGACAAGTGTTATGGTTAATAGAGAAAAAATCACACTTATAAGACATATATTAATCATACGTATGAGGGAACAGTCACAATTATGAGATCTACAAGGAAAAGTATTATATTAAGTTTGCATCAAAGATACACTATGAGTACTCATCTACTACACCCACAAGATAATATTAGTTTTGAATCACAAGTTAAATCTTTTGATGGAGCACTATAGAAACTAGAGGTTTCAGATTATGTAGAAGTGAGACATAATACATGCAATAAGGAAAAAAAAATATTAATAATAATAATTATAGTAGGACTAAAGAAAGTTATGAAAACGACCCAGCCTGACCAGAACATTAGGGAAAAAAATAAAGAAATAAAAAAAAATGAAGAAGACACTTAAGTTAAAACTTAGGATTATGTTGCCCAAAAGATCAACCGTTTAGATTTTTTCATCACTAACAAAGAATAAGGACTTCGACACGAGGTAATGCAGCATATTATAGCAGCTTCGATAAATAGAGAAAAACTACCAGGACTATACATGATGTAAAGAAACCTATTGTGGGAAAGTTCCGTTGCATGATTATTAGATCGGTGACATTTCATGGTATAGAGTATTGGGCCATTGAAAGAAACAATGTCGTTTATATTAACACATCACAAATAAGGACGTCAAAACAGAGGTGTGACCACTTTGTAATGGATAAGATGGGAAATGAAGATACAAGTCAAGTAATTTGAGAGTAGCGAGAGTTAATGGTTAGAGCATGTTGTACATAAAATAAAGACACTTGTTTACAAAAATAATGTAATGTTAGCAGAACACATTAGAAGTCGGATAAGTAGGCCAAAATTAACATGACCTAAAATGCTTGCCAAAGTTGGTTTGTTCGCAAGTTGTAGTAGAGGTAGATAGTGGAAAAGGCTTTATGTTGCTAACATCAAGGTTATTGATTAATGAGAATAAGGTTTACCTAGTAAATATTGCTGTCAAAGTCTCAAACCCTTTGTTATTCACTCAGATTGTGGAGGCTGAGGAGATTTACTATTTCAACTTATCATTCCCTACAAATTTCTTTCTGCTTTTTCGTCCTGAAGGAGAGTTTTTTATAAGTTTGATTGCCCTAGTCATTCATATAATTCAACTTCAAAAGAAAAAGATAGCAACAATTTTATATATAATGATCTAACGAAAACAAGGTGATGCCAGGTTGGTGAAGGTTCTACAAACAGTTGATTCCCAAATGAAAACAAAATTATTAAAGAGAGTGAAGTACTCAGTTAAACACGAAAATAAGCTGATTGGAGAACATGAATGCAGTTGATATCAGAAACGTAGAACACATGGTGGGGCCATCAGGAAAGTGAGTGAGTTTCATAGGTCCCACAATTGATGATCAGGGACAATAGTAGGACGATTTTGGCATTTAGAAGCAGTTGAATCTCACTAAATATAGAAGTCCAAAGGTAAGCCTCAAGAGAGGTGTGGACTAGTATGTTGGAGCACTATGTTCTTAAATATAAGCTGTTACGGAATAACAACATTCTTTTTATTCAGGAGAGGTCATTAAACTAGATCATACATCAAATGTGATTTAATTCCTATTATCACGCAGATATGAAGCGAACATCAAATGTATATTTACAAGCTAATGGTACAAAACTATCACTGTGTTGGCTGTAAAGGTACGAAAATCCCTACAAGTAGTAACCTTCATACTTCTCAGTGAAGTCGATAGATATAAACTTTTTAAATTGGATGGCATTTTGCAACTAGTGAATTCTTTACAGGCAATGAAAATGTTTCTTCCCATGAGTAGACAACCAAATAAAAGCCAGTAAAGCCTGTTCTTCTACTCCTAATAGGTTACCAGTCCTAAAGCTGCCACAGCTGAGAAGAAAGGGCTAATTATCTCAAAAGGCAAGACGGCAATAATTCACTTGAGAAAGAAAGACAAATCAAGAGATCCACCGGTAGACAAACATACAAAATACATACGTGTTGAATTCAACAATAACCAGAATCATACTAAATTCCTGAAGGAAATAAAATAGCAAGGACAAGAAGCAAACCTTGGTCAACTCTTGCAGATAAAAGGCACTCCAAAGTAAGCTGGGCTTTACTTCAGTATTTCCACTTCGATCATCCATGTTACAGTTTTCAGTGTTACCAGAAATAGACACAGAAAACAGAGCATTTATGGCTGAATGTAGTAACTTCTTCCCTTCAACAGCATCGTCACATACTGCTGAAAGATATGTCACAAACCTGAACAACAAAGTGGAAAATACAATGTTGAATGAGATTTCAAATAGCACCAACTTAAAAAAAAGGCAGATGTTTACCTACACAAAAAAAATGGCAATGACAAACCCCGGGTAAATTCAACCCCAGAAAGCCACATATAAAGACAGACGTAAATTCATATCCATAGCAAATTTTCCGTGTAATCATCCCTTTTAAGTTCAGTACATAGTTGATGGAAGAATGGGCAATTTAATAATCCAAATTTCAGAGAGAGTATAGGCAAATGGGACATGCAACTTACATGTCAGGTGGGCAAACAGCCACATTACTACTCAACTGGAAGACACGGACGGACTTCATCTGGTCTGGGCACAAAGCTAGAGAAAACGAAGATAAAAAAATAAAGCACTGTAGTTGGAATGTCAGAAAATACAATTAAAACACTGGGCTTACATCTGGGAGGAAAGAACACCAGACAATTAGCTACATCTGGTTTTAAGGAACTCTTGGTAATGCATATTCCTCGGGCAACCTTCTCTTTGACATCTTGGAGGGCCAAATCATGAGAACTCAGCTGATGTGAGGAAAAAGGATCTAAGGGTGATGTAATAGTAAAAGAGGGAGCCAGGATCAGCTGAGGGCTGAATAAATCTTGACCAGAAACTAACTTGACACCTTTATAAGTCCCACTGTCCTGCAAAAGTTCTAAACTGTCTTATGAAAAATGATATAAGCTATTACAATCAGCTGTAATGTTCTCTTAATATTATATAGGAAAAATGAGTGGTAAGTGCACGAAAGAGATTTTGGTGATGACCATGCACCATAGAGCCCACACGATAGTGCGCATGCATGATAATCAAGGACATCAAGTTCATGCGCTCACACAGCCAAAGGAGCAGCTCACACTTATCCTCTAAAGAGCAATAAAAACCTACAAATATCATTTCGAACCTTATCGATGAGTAGGGCAGCTGCAGGCATTCGCAAAACCTGTATAAGATGTGTATGATTAAACTAAGCATTAGAGAGCTTGTAAGGCATGTATCGGTCATCAACGATAAATAGAAACATAGCCAGGAATGAAAGAAATCTGAAAAAACTAAACAACATTTTACTGCTACATTTTGAGATAATTTCCAGTCTCCTCCAAACCAGAAAACAAGAACCGTTAACAAGTTCACTAGAAATAACAAAATGACTTGTAATTAAGAGAGGAAAATCTAATAAAGAGTCGGCAGTCAGTAATGAATATAAGGCCCCCATTACGGGCAGAACCATGGCCCACAATATAACTATTGCCACTTTTGAGCTGTGATTGTTTCCAATTTTAACAAGACAACAATGGATAGAATGGAAGGATTTATTCGACCACCCCTCCCCACTTTAAATTGGTATGTGTTTCTACTTTTCAGTTTAGAATTTATTTAACTTCTAAAACTGAAAGGAACATCCTTCAGAGACACAACTTCAAAACAAAACTAAGAACAACCTGAACACATCAAAGGGATTATGAAATATCGAGTGTTGCGCCCCACAATCAAGAGCATGTAAGAAAAACACAGTTACAAGTTCAAAAAGAATATAAGTAATAACATAATCACTGAGATAGATATATAGACAGATCTCCTTTGTCTTGGTTGGTTTAGGAATTGTGTTTCCCACAGCCAAGGTTTAGGGTTTGAGAATTGGTATATAGATAGACAAATAAAGCGAGAGAGGGGAAGAGAATTCTCATCATAAGCTAATATTGAGAGTGAGAGCAGGCAGAATCCAAGTACTGTGCATTGGTATATAACCAGTCTTCTAAGCAAATATAATAAAATAACTATCCTTACATGAATACACCCTTTGACAGCAGCACGACGGCAAAAGGCTTGTGGAAGCTCCCCTTGGCCATACAAGGGATAAATCATAGCACCATTTGCATTAGGAAACCTAAAAATATTAATAAAATAAATTGAGGACTATAGGTACTGGTTTGTCAAAAGTTAACAAAAAAAGTACTCAAAAATAGAAAGAAAAAGAAATGCCCGAATACACTATGCACTGAATGTAAAGGGTCCAGAGAACCTTTTTTTTTTTTCTATTTTTCCAATTTCCATTTTTACACATCCATTAACAGCATCTACATTGCCCAGAAAAGAGTTATGGAAAAATAATATGCAAAAGCTCATCATGTTCTCCAAATCATGTTAAGAAGAATGAAGATTATACAAATGAAATGGAAAATTGTTTTAGTTAAGCAACAAGCTAAAGCATACAGAGGTAAAATAGTTACATCTTATTATCTAGTATACCCTATAGCCCAGTAAGTATGCTCAAAAGCCTCCAAACTCTCGATCCAATTTTGTAAACATTTATAAAAGATAGTTCAAAAGTTCAGGACAGCAATAAAGCTCAAAACAAAAAAAATTAAAAAAAAAAAGGCAAGACAAATGAGCTCACACCTCATTCACCCTGAGGCTTAGCATTGAACCTCAGTAAACCGAGACCTAAGACTCAACAAATGGCAGTTAAGAAGTAATTCTCGAGGCATTTGTGAAAGCCTAGCGCCTCGAACAGCTTCTACAAACAATGAGCTTTGTTATTCCTCACGAAGTTTGGAACATTTTGTGGTATCTACCTATAGAATTTTTTGCAATTAATATTGAATAACAGTCACTATAAGGATTTTCTGTAATCAGTGACTTATAGATACACATTTTCTAACCAAAATATAATCAAAACTGAAGTTTCAATTAATATATATTGCAGGGTAATCCACGCCGTGTACATAACTAAACCTGGCTATGTACTTTAACTGGAAAAAAAAACACAAAAAACATAAGGTCGTATTAATACCAAAACAGAGAGTAAAATAAACATCCACCTCGGATACATACACAGTAAAAACAGATAAATGTAAGTGCTGTATTTAGTCAGACTACTGTATACTTCATAAAGTAAACTAATTCTCACTTCCTGAATTTAGTGGAAGTTTTAAATGAATTTCACATATTATAAAATTCCAATTAATATGTAAGTGCACAAGGTTTATTCTGCCAATTAATGGGGTCATCTTTGTTTCTTTCAACCTATTAATTAATTTCTTCTTCTGTAAAAACAAAAGGTTAATGTATTATTATATTATCTTATCTACGTTCAATCAACGTCAATAGTTCTATAATTGAATGAAATCCATTCAAATATGGATCAGAAAGAACTGACCTGCCAACCGACGAGTGGTAAAGTGTTAAATGATTTATCCCATCTTTTGTTTTGATAACATCTGTATAGACCTCCATATTGTCTTGATCATAATTCGCCATCACTATTGCATACAAAATAATCCTGAATGGGAGAACTTATATAAGTCAAATCACATATAAATTTAACCCAGAGAAAATATCCAACATGCATCTGACCGGCTTAGATATCATCATACTTAGTCTTGTGAGACATTAAATTGAAATAATAAATAATAAGAACCTCATTACACAAATTAGGATAACAATGAAATGAGACAAAAGACAAGAATAAAAAGGCTTTTCATTGAGATAAATATCTTAGTCCTCAGAGTGTCATCCTTCCTGAGGGTCATACCCATGGACGAATATTTTCTCCCAAAATAATAAACAGTAGCCAAAAGACTAAGTGGGATTTAAATCATTATCTGCACTGCATGTTCCCCAAATCAAACACTAATGGTCATAGTTAAAACATGTAAAACAAGCTTACAAAATGTATCCAAAAAATGATTAATTTGACTTCAGGAAAAGAAATTATAAGCAAACACTGCTAATTAGTTAATCACAAGCATATCATTGGGTTATGTAATGATCCACATTCGTCCATAAATCTAAAGTTTGCCAAGAGAACTATCATGCCAAAATTAAGGCTGAGAACTGTCAGAATAGATCACTCCAGAATGATGATGCAACACACGTAAATTCTGAAAGTCCAAACAAAAAGTATGCCAAAAGTTGATGATCAGAGCAATTCAGTTAAAGATGTTAGAACTGAAAAGAGAGAGGAAAACAAGAACTCTCACTAACAGAGAGAAAAAAGGCCAAGAATCGATCTGTACGATTTTAGCTTCTGTGGCAGCCCCAATTTCGTCAAAAATTCGACAAACGGACTCTCCAGGTCTTCCTCGGAAATTCGACTACTCTCGTCACTCTCGCTCTCACTCAGGAAATGACCCTGTACCAGCTTGAAAAACCTCATCAACTGATTCTTCTCAGTGAACGACAAACTCCGATCCTTAAATATAGCATTCCGGGAGTCAGGCACGGCACCCAATTTTCCCTCCGCGTCGCACGTGAAGCTAGCATCTACGCTCTTGAACTCCATATACTGATTTATGCCCGTTTTAAGGATCAAATCAATCATAGGGTCGGAGCAGAGCAGAACCCGAGGTCCCGTCAAATCGAGGCAGAACTTTTTCGAATTATCGAGGGGCTCGGAGGAGTAGGAGTTGATTTCTAGCGATGAGTAGAGGGGGCGAGCGACAAGAGGGACATAAACGTAATTCCCGGTGTCGTCAGTCTGAGGAAGTTGGGGATTGGAAGATGATTGAGATTGGAACTGCTGAGATTGGAGGAAGGAGATGAAGTCTTGAAGGGGAAGAGAGGCATAGTGAGAACCGTACAACCAGTTGGGATCGAGCTGGAGGACGGTTTTACCGGCGGCGGAGGAGGCGGCGGCTAGGATGGATTCCGGGAGTCCAGTGCCTATGATGATGAGGTCAAAATTCGAAGGCTCGATGTGTGGATACGCCGCCGTTTCGTCCATCGGAGAGAGAATTACTAGTCTAACGGTGATAATTTTCAGGCAATTCTGAATTGTGTAAATTCTTAACCTGGACTTGGCTTCTCAATGTCGTTTCACACGGAATTTTATAATCTCTCATTTAAAATTATTTCTGTACTCATTTTTTAATAACGGGTTAATTTCATCAACGGTCACTAATGTTACGTGAAAATAACAAAACAATTACTAAAGTTTAAAACTTGCAAAAATGATCACTGAAGTTTCATGCGATTTCAGAAGCGGTCACTGAACTTAGTTTTAGAACTATTATGTTTTAATTCAAATTTAAAGCACCAAAACACGTGGACATAGAAGTTGGATGACCTCAAGAATTCTTAAAATCTCCCTAACCCCAAACCCAGACCACCACTTTTCGCGCCCCATTCCACTACATTCCGGCCACCAAAACCATAGAACCAACACACCATCTTGAAGCCCTCACTTCTCTCTACCCAACCCACCCAAGAACCGCCCCTACCTCCGACGGTGGTGGCCGGAATTTCGTCCCAAAGTGGGCTTCTCGCATAGTCGGCAGTTTTGTGTTGTGTGAGAGGCCCAATTTTGGACGAAATTCTACCACTTTCCGTCCACCTAAACCACCGGACCAACACACCACCTTAAAATCTTCGCTTCCCTCTACGCAACTCACCCAAGAATCATACCTAAATCCTCCGAAAAGTGGCCGGAATTTTGTCCCAAAGTAGGCCGCTTGCACCGCAAAAACTGCCACCGCCACTGTGTCGAAATTCAGGCCACTTTTCGGTGGATTTAGGAGTCATTCTTGGGTGGGTTGCTTAGAGGACATCTAGGGCTTCAAGACGGTGTGTTGGTCTGGTGGTTTTGGTGGCAGGAAAGGGATAGAATTTGGTCCAAAGTGGCAGCTGGCATTGCTGTCCTGTGTGAGCCCGCCACTTTGGGACGAAATTCCGGCCACTTTTCGGAGGATTTAGGAACGATTCTTGGGTAGGTTGCGTAGAGGATAGCGAGGGCTTCAAGGTGGTGTATTGGTCCGGTGGTTTTGATGGACGGAAAGTGGTGGAATTTGGTCCAAAAGTGGGCCTCTCACACAACACAAAACTGCCGACTGTGCGAGAGGCCCACTTTGGGACGAAATTTCGGCCACCACCGTCGGAGGTAGGGATAGTTCTTGGGTGGGTTGTGTAAAAGGAAGCGAAAGCTTCAAGATGGTATGTTGGTTCGGTGGTTTTGGTGGCCGAAATGTGGTGGAATGGGGCGCGAAAAGTGGTGGTCTGGGTTTGGGGTTGGGGAGATTTTAAGTTGAATTTTGCACTTGAGGTCCTCCAGCTTCTATGTCCACGTGTTTTGGTGCTTTTGGTTTGAATTAAAACATAATAGTACTAAAACTAAGTTTAGTGACCGTTTTTGAAATCACATGAAACTTCAGTGACCATTTCTACAACTTTTAAACTTTAGTGAGCGTTTTGTTATTTTCGCGTAATTTCAGTGACCGTTTGTGAAATTAACCCTTTTAATAACACATTTACACAATAAAATATTCTACAAGGAAGCTCAAAAAAATTTCTTACTTTTTAACCACACATTCTCCAAAAAATTATCATTATGTTATAACACTGATATAAATTATTGTAATGTGGAATTGTGAAAATCGTTTTCAATAATCTACCATTATGTTGTTGCGAATTCAGATATGAAAACATTTAATCGATTTTTCGCTCATGTTTGCACAAATTATTTTTCGATTATGCTTCATGTACGTTACAGTTTACAAATTTGGTTATCAACACATTATAGCAATGAGATTTGATTAACTCAAAATCTCACCAACCAAATAATAAAAGAAAATTTCTCCACTTTCTTTTTTATCACATCATCAATCTGTAAAATAATCTCTAGCTAGTGATTACAACAATCATTTTCCATTATTTTTTATCTACATAAGCTGGTAATAGTCAAGCCATCTCAGAGCCCTTGTTTGGTCCAGATTAAAATTTGATTTTAATCCAAGTCAAAGTCAAACAATCAATATTAACCACATCTTTTATAGGTCCTACAACTTTTCAAACACATATTTCAAAAAATTCTATCACAATCCATTAAAAATCTAATTTTAATTATCACCAAATAACCTCTAAATCATCAAACAAAGTCGCCTCAAATTCCTCAGAAAAAATCACAAGATTCATATAAGAAAAGATCTAAAGCTGCAGCAGAAAGTAAGAATTCCAATCCCTTTACTGTAGAAAAGATGACTATTAATGAGTGTATTTTATAAATTTATTCGGACTTCCAAAATTGATGGATTATGATTAATTGTGTGGATATCTACTTATAGGTAAAACCCGAACTTGGGATGCAATTAACGTGAAGAAAGGTGATTTTGAGTTTTATTGGTGTTGATTCGGAAAAATTGAAGATCAATCGGACTGTACGTAATCAATTAAAAGAATTAAAGATATAAAAAATCACTAGTTTCGGAAGCTAAATCCAACATTTGAAAAGTATGGTGACTCAATTGTAAACTTTCAAAACCTATATCGAATCGGTTACGATGATTGTGGAAGATATGGGTCGAAGTGTGAAGATTTAAATATGAAGAATCAACGATGGAAATAGAAAGGGAATCAAGCTCAACAAAGGAATAAATTCAGCTACCTAAGTTGAATGGGGACAGAAGTGGTGCCTTGCGATCGTAAGAGTTACCTAAAGCATCGCAAGCCTCGACAATTTACCACTAGCAAGATCAAAGTGTCTACCATGTGATCTCAGCAGTAAAGCCCACGCAATCGGATGGTAAAAATCACTGAAAAAACTTTTGTTTTCTTGTTCGACTTTTCCTCTTGAAGAGCAATTACATCATGAGTTTTGAACTAATTTTGTAGCATATAAACACATCCTTCTTCTACATTACTGAGGAGTGGATATTGGGACACAATATGCACATATGTTTCAATATGAGAAGCTTTAAATTTTTGGTGTGTGTGTGTGGGGGGGGGGGGGATTTAATAGAAGCTTTTGGAACAAAATACATATCCGTATCTGTTGACACACTAAAAGTGCAGTCCAAATTAAATTGCCCAAAGAGCGAAACCCAATTGGGAATCCAAGATGAAAACCCAAGTAAAGGGTATTATTGAAAAAAGGACGGTTTTACCGGCGGCGGAGGCGGCGGCGGCTAGGATGGATTCCGGGAGTCCAGTGCCTATGATGATGAGGTCAAAATTCGAAGGCTCGATGTGTGGATACGCCGCCGTTTCGTCCATCGGAGAGAGAATTACAAGTCTAACAGTGATAATTTTCAGGCAATTCTGAATTGTGTAAATTCTTAACCTGGACTCGTCTTCTCAATGTCGTTTCACACGGAATTTTATAATCTCTCATTTAAAATTATTTCTGTACTCATTTTTAATAACGGGTTAATTTCATAAACGGTTACTAAAGTTACGCGAAAATAACAAAACGATCACTAAAGTTTAAAATTTGCAAAAATGGTCACTGAAGTTTCATGCGATTTCAAAAGCGGTCACTGAACTTAGTTTTAGAACTATTATGTTTTAATTCAAATTTAAAGCACCAAAACATGTGGACATAGAAGTTGGAGGGCCTCAAGAATTCTTAAAGTCTCCCTAACCCCGAACCCAGACCACCACTTTTCGCGTCCCATTCCATCATGTTCCGACCATCAAAACCACTGAACCAACACACCATCTTGAAGCCCTCGCTTCTCTCTACGCAACCCACCCAAGAACCGTCCCTACCTCCGACGGTGGTGGCCGGAATTTCGTCCCAAAGTGGGCTTCTCGCACAGTCGACAGTTTTGTGTTGTGTGAGAGACCCAATTTTGGACGAAATTCTACCACTTTCCGTCCACCAAAACCACCGGACCAACACACCACCTTAAAACCTTCGCTTTCCTCTACGCAACCCACCCAAGAATCATACCTAAATCCTCCGAAAAGTGGCCGGAATTTTGTCCCAAAGTGGGCCGCTTGCACCGCAAAAACCGCCACCGCCACTGTGTCGAAATTCAGGCCACTTTCCGGTGGATTTAGGAGTCATTCTTGGGTGGGTTGCTTAGAGGACATCTAGGGCTTCAAGACGGTGTGTTGGTCCGGTGGTTTTGGTGGCAGGAAAGGGGTAGAATTTGGTCCAAAGTGGCAGCTGGCATTGCTGTCATGTGTGAGCCCGCCACTTTGGGACGAAATTCCAGCCACTTTTCCGAGGATTTAGGAGCGATTCTTAGGTAGGTTGCGTAGAGGACAGCGAGAGCTTCAAGGTGGTGTATTGGTCCGGTGGTTTTGATGGACGGAAAGTGGTGGAATTTCGTCCAAAAGTGGGCCTCTCACACAACACAAAACTGCCGACTGTGCGAGAGGCCCACTTTGGGACGAAATTTCGGCCACCACCGTCGGAGGTAGGGACAGTTCTTGGGTGGGTTGCGTAAAAGGAAGCGAAGGCTTCAAGATGGTATGTTGGTTCGATGGTTTTGGTGGCCGAAATGTGGTGGAATGGGGCGCGAAAAGTGGTGGTCTGGGTTTGGGGTTTGGGAGATTTTAAGTTGAATTTTGCACTTGAGGTCCTCCAGCTTCTATGTCCACGTGTTTTGGTGCTTTTGGTTTGAATTAAAACATAATAGTACTAAAACTAAGTTTAGTGACTGTTTTTGAAATCACATGAAATTTCAGTGACCATTTCTACAACTTTTAAACTTTAGTGACCGTTTTGTTATTTTCGCGTAATTTCAGTGACCGTTTGTGAAATTAACCCTTTTAATAATACGTTCACACAATAAAATATTCTACAAGTAAGCTAAAAAAATTTCTTACTTTTTAACCACACGTTCTTCAAAAAATTATTATTATGTTATAACACTGATATAAATTATTGTAATGTGGAATTGTGAAAATCGTTTTCAATAATCTACCATTATGTTGTTGCGAATTCAGATATGAAAACATTTAATCGATTTTTCGCTCATGTTTGCACAAATTATTTTTCAATTA